AGCGAGCGGCCCCGGGCCGCGCGCGGCCGCGCTCGGAGCGCGGCCGCGCGCCGGCGGGGGGCCTTTGATCCACGCAGCGCGCCGCCGGCCCGCCGGGCCGGCCCCCTAGACTTAACCCCTTGTGACCTTGCGTGATGGCGTGCTCCGCCGCGGACGCGGTCGAGACCTCGGTATCTCTCGGTCGAACGCCGCGTCGGACGGCGTCGAGGGTGCCGGCCGTCACCTGGGCCGTCATCTGGCCGTCCTCGCTCGCCGCACCGTCGCGCCGCCACCGTCGTCGCGCCGCACCGTCGTCGCGCCGCTCCGTCGTCGCACCGCGCGCAGCGTGAACCATGTCGAAGCGCTGGTGGCAGGAGGAGTCCGCGGCCGAGGCGGGCTTCGACTTCGAGACGGCGAACGACGGCGGCGACGACGACGACGCCGACTACGTCAAGACGGGCCCCTACATCGGCCGCGCCGTGCGGCGCACCTTCGGCCGCGGCGTCGTGTCCTACGGCGTCGTCGTGTCCTGGCTGCCCCACGAGAAGAACGAGGGCCAGGCCTTCTTCCGCGTGCGCCACGACGACGGCGACGAGGAGGATTTGGACGAGGCCGAGGTCGACGCGGCCGCCGCCGACGCCGAGGCGCACCCGCGCGCGGCGCCGGCCCGCGACGCCGGCGACGACGCGGCCGCCGACGCCGCGCCGCGGCCGTCGCTCGGCGACGGCGACGTCGCGCCCGCGGCGCCCGCGGCGCTCGTCGCGGCGTTCGGCGACGTCGCCGACGACGCCGCGCCGGAGGCGCGGGCCGCCGCGGCGCTCGCGGCCTGCTGGAGGGGCCTCGAGTTCCTCGGCGGCCTCGGCGCCTCGGAGCCCGTGCTCGCGGGCTTCGGCGCGGACCTCTGCCTGACGTTCCACGACGTCGCGGCGACCGCGCCGGATCCGCTCAGAGCTTTAGCTTTGTACCACGTGGAACGTCTCGCCCAGCGCTGGAAGGGCGCGCACGAGGCGGCGTTAGATGTGGCCCAGATCGAGCCCGTGGAGGTCTGCGATCTGCTCGCGGGCGTCGTCGCGGTCGCGAGGGCGGGCGCGGCGCACGCGTCGCTCAAGATGGAGTGCAAGGCCGTCGCGGATCGCGTCGTCGGCGCGCGGGGCAGGCGCCGCGCCGCCGACGCCTTCCTCTCGGCGGACGTGCTGGGCAAGCCCATCGGCGACGTCAACGACTCGCGCCGGCGCGCGGGCCGCTGCCGCGCGGCGACGAACGCGGTGCTCTGCGCCTCGCTGGCCGAGCGGGCCGAGGTGCCCGTCGGCGCGGACGAGGCCGAGGTCTGGGCCTGGCTCGACCCGCTGCGGCCCTACGCGCCCTACGAGGCCATGGGCTGGGAGGACTGGCTCGACCAGCTCACGCTCGCCGTCACGCTCGTCGCCGTCGCGTCGAACGACTGCGCCCTCCGCCTGCCGCCGTCGCTCCTCCCGGCCGAGTACGCGCTCGTCGCGGACCCGGCGACGCTGCGGCGCTGCGTGAAGAAGCGGGACGTGCACCTCGTCGGCGACGTGGCGACGTGCCTCCGCGTCTTCGGCGCGGCCGACGACGACGCGCGCGTCGTCGTCGCGCGCGACTTCCTCGTGAAGGCGCAGATCAGGGGCGGCGTCGAGGCCGGCTCCTGGCCCACGCGCGACGGCGACGCGACGTCCTACGCCGCCTACCACGCGGCCAGGTGCGCCGTGCGGGCGCTCTACGCGCCGACGTTCCGCGGCTTCGGGCCGGCGTCGCCGGCGCTCCGCGGCGTCCTCCGGGTCGCCGGCGACGCCCACGGCCGCTGCGGCGCGCGCGTCTACGGCGCCAGGCACGTCGCGAAGATCGCGGACCGCTACCGCGAGGAGAACGCGGACGTCGACGCGGCCGCGCGGAACTTCGACCTCGAGGAGCGCGCCGCGCGGCGCCTCGCGGGCCTCCTCAAGTGGAAGCGCGCCATGGAGGCGCGCACCATCGACGACTACGACGAGGGCGACGAGCGCGCGCGGAAGAAGCGCAACAAGAAGCGCCTCCGCTAAACAAAGAGGCGGCGGCGGGGCGCGGCGAAGGACCCAAGTCCCGCTTTCGAGCTGCGAGTACGCCGAGAGGCGCGTAAGGACTCGGTCGCGTTTTACTGCGGGAATTCGCCGGCGAGTGCGACTTTGCTTGCTTTGCCGGAGTCGTCGCGAGTTTTTCCGTTTGCCGCAAGTCGATTTGCCGGCGCCGCTCGTTGGGGAAACAGCGAGTTTCCGTGGTAAATTGAAGCAAAGTTGTACCTCAACTTGAAGTAAACTATGATAACTGTGCCAAGCCCGTCACACAACCAGCGCCGTCCTCGCAGGAGGAACCGCGAAGCGCCGTAATATCCGCGCCATTGAAGCAGAGTTTATTTCGGTCATTTCCGCGCGTCACACACGCCGCGTAGTACTACGCGGGACGCCACGGCTTGAAGGGCCTCTCGGCCGCCGGAAAACCGGCCCGGCGGCAAACTCGCCGGCCGCAAATCACCGGCAAAGTAAAACTCGAAAACTCGCCTCTGGAGCGGCAAAGTTTTTACGGTAAAACGCAACCTAGCGTAAGGAGACCCGAGATCGAGCAGCGTGTGGCTCTCTCTCTCGCGCATTAGGCGACACACCCCGCCTACGCGCCTACCTTGGGCGGGCGCGGGCACTGGGGGGCCCACTAAAGCCGCACCGGGCCCCGGGGGGCTCCTCTTGAGGGGCCGGGATCGTCCCTGAACATTGCAGGGCCCAGACGTCCCTGGCGCGGAGCTCGGCTCCTGACGCGGCCCGCGGAGCTTGGCTCTCGATCGGGGACGCTACGCACTCGGAGGCTCTTGAAAGGCTAAAACTTTACTACTAGTAGTACGATCGCAATCGCGTGTTCGCGCCGAGCGCGTCGGCCGTGGCCCGCCGTGCCGGGGATGGCGCGCGGCGGACGCGCCTCGCCGAAGGCTCACGCGTGGCCTCGCGACTTCGCGCGCGCCGAGAGCGCGGTGCTCGCGCTGCTTCGCGATCGTCGTTTTCGAACGATTTTTTTACCAAGTACATGGCTCGCGCGGCGAAGAGGAAGGGGCGTGCTCGCGGGAGCCAATCCGGGGATATTTGGACGCTGGAGGAGACGATGCGCGCGAGTTGAGCTTTTTTTTGGATGACCTCCTTTGTCCAAACAAGGTTACCCTGCCCACGCCACTGGAAAATCGACGATTTTGGGCACCTCGACTGCGGACCCCCTGCTTGTCTCATCGTGATGGACGTTTATCTGGGGCTCCGGAACCGCAGCCGCCCTAGAACTGGGAGAGCGTCGCGTCGGCGAGCGCGTGGTGGAGCTTGAGCTTGGCCTGGTCCTGCTCGAGGCCGTTGCCGAGGCCCCGCGGCGGGAGCCGCGCGTCGAGGAGCGCGAGGGCCGTCTCCTCGTGCGTGCCCTCGACGGCGAGGACGGCGACGCGGACCTCCCGCGTCTGCCCGAGGCGGTGCGCGCGGCCGACGGCCTGCCTGTACGCGCTCGCGTCGAGGCACGGCTCGAAGAAGACGACGAGCGCCTGGGCAGGAAAAGAGTGATTCAACGTCGCTTCCACGTGAGTGTTCCGCGCGCGCGCGCGTTCCGGAAGCATCCACGCTTCGAGACCGTTCCGAGGGATGATCGCTCGTCCAAGAATCAGCCAAAACGAGTGGAACCCCCGGCCGAGAGAGGAGCCTTTGAAGTTGGGCATGTCGCACTCTTTTCCTGCCCCGACGAGCGCCGCGACCGTGAGGTTCAGCCCGACGCCGCCCGCGCCGAGCGTCGCCACGAGCGCGGCGACGCGGCCATTTCGTCTTGCTCGTCGTCGACATCCAGGGCAGCCATCGCATGATGGCCGCGCGCACAACGGGCCGGGGCCTCGTGCGCCGCTTCGAGGCGGCGGACGAGGCCGGCGCGGCGGCGCTCGAGGACGCGCTGCGAGCGCGCGACCTCCTCGTCGAACGCGAGCGCGTGCTCCTGGCAGTCGCCGAAGCCGTCGACGCGGCGCCGCGCCGACGCCGCGCCGACGCCGCGCCGACGCCGCGCCGACGCCGCGCCGAGCGCCGTCGAACGGATTTCCGCGATTGTTGGACGGATCGACGGCGCTCGGCGCCGCCGTCGCGGCGGACGCGGCGCGGCGCCGCCCGGACCGCGGCGTCGCGGCGACTGCCGCGGCCGGGTGCGCCTCGTCGAACGCGAGCGCGTGCTCCGCGCCTAACTGTCGAGCCTGCCCGGAGATGCTCGCATCGACGTCGCCGCGCGGGCCCGGCGACGCGGTGCGGCGCAAGCCGCCGCGCGCGGTCGCCCGCATCCGGCCGGCCCGCGCAGAGTTGCCCCCATCCGGCCAGCCCGCGCGCGACGCGGAGCGCGCCGCGGCCCGCCGCGCGCGCCTCGCCGCCGCGGCCGCCGCGGAGGAGCCGCCGCGGGTGTTCGCGCAGGCGCGACACGGTCGTCGGCGATCGCGAGCGTCATCGCTCGATGGTCCGCGGCGTCTCCTTGGGCGCCGCCGTCACCGGATCTTCCGCCCCTGCTTCTCCTCGGCGCAGGGTTGCACCGTGCTCATAAAAAAGCAGACACCGAAGCAGCCCATGACGACGAGGATCGGCACGAGCACCGTGACGGCGATGCCGACGTCGGACGTGGAGCCTCCCTCGAGCACGATGGGCTCCCTCATGCCGCCCTCTTGCGAGACGGCAGCTTCTTGCGAGACGGCACCTTGAACCGTGCTTGATGTGAGGCGCTGGATGCTGGGCGCCGGGCAGCCCCGCTCGGCCATGTCGCTGCGCGAGTCCGCGGCGGCGAACGAGGAGGACGGCGGCCGGCTCATGGACGAGCTCCAGTGGAAGCCCGCCGTGCTCAAGCTCGAGGAGGCGGCGCGCGACCTCGAGTCCTACCACGAGCCCCTCAACAAGAGCCGCCTCGAGGCGAAGATCGGGCGCTGCTACGTCGAGCTCCGGGACTACGGCGCGGCCCACGGTCGCTTCGAGAAGCAGCTCGAGTGCGCCCTGCAGCACGACGCGACGACGGGCACGGAGCGCGACGAGGGCCGCTGCGTCGCGCACCACAACCTCGGCCACGCGCTCTTCCTCCTCGGCTCGCACGCCAAGGCGCTGGACCAGCTCGACGAGGCGGCGAATCTCCTCGACGAGCTCGAGATGCCGGAGCAGAAGGGCCGCACGGCGTCCCTCGCCGGCGTCATCCACCAGATGAACAACCGCCTCGAGGCGGCCATAGCGAAGCACCAGACGGACCACGACGCGTCGCTCAAGCTCGCGCGGCAGAACGAGAACGAGCGGGGCGGCCCCGGGGCCACGGGCGTCATCCGCGCGCGCCACAACATCGGCGCGTGCCTCCTGCGCCTCGGGAAGCACGCGCACGCGCGCGAGGAGTTCGACGCGTGCGCCGCGGCGCTCGACGGGCTCCAGGTCGACGAGCTCGAGGCGCTCCACAAGGGCGCCACGAAGAAGTTCGCCCTCGCCAAGGCCTTCTACCACGGCGCCATCGCGACGGACCTCGAGCTCGACGGCGGGTCCCTGGACCGCCTCGAGCGCGCCGCGAAGCTCGCGCCCGACCGCGCGCGAAACGACCGGCGGCACGGCCCCGTCCGGCGCAACTTCAAAACGCTCGAGCTCGGCCACATCGACGTCGATTCGGCCGACTCTTGGACGACTCTTTTTTTCTCGTCGAGCGCTCCACGGAGAAGACACGACTCTGCATCGAATACCGGAGAAGTCGCGTCGCGGAGTTTCGTGTCCCGCGCAGGTGCCCGACCCGCCGATCACGATCCAGGAGAACGCGGCGCTCCCGGACGAGCACGCGGCGGCCTGGCCCGGCCGCCCCGAGGACGCCATCTTGGGGGCGCTGGTCCAGATCGCGCTCGCGCGCTACGCGCTGCGCCTCGCGAAGCAGTTCGGCATCGACCGGGGCAGGAAAAGAGGGCGAAATTCCCAACTTCAAAGGCTCCTATCTCGGCCGTTTTCCACTCGTTTCGGCTGATTTTTGGACGAGCGATCATCTCTCGGAACGGTATCGAAGCGTGGATGCTTTTTCTGGAACGCGCGCGCGCGGAACACTCACGTTGAAGCGAACTTGAATCACTCTTTTCCTGCCCAGGCATCGACGGCAAGGACTTCGGGCAGATCTACGTGCGCCTCGGCAACGCGAACCGCTACGCGCACGTCGCGAAGCGCAAGTTGGACGTCATCGCCAACACGACCGTGACGCTCGTGACCCACACCTGCGACGTGACGCGGGGCTACGCGCAGGCCATCGCGGGCGACCTCAAGGCCGCGGCGATCTCCTTCGTCGACGGCCTGGGGACGCTCGTCGACGGCGAGAACCGGGGCTCCTTCGGCGCCATGACCAAGGGCGCCGACGCGACCTTTGGCTGCGACTGCGACGGCCCGCCGGATCTCGTGCCCTTCACGAACGGCTACGGCGGCGCGGTCCGCGCCGGGGCGGCACAAGAGAGCGACATTCCCGACTTCAAAGGCTCCTGTCTCGGCCGTTTTCCACTCGTTTCGGCTGATTTTGGGACGGGCGATCATCTCTCGGAACGGCCTCGAAGCCTGGGCGCTTGTTCCGGAACGCGCGCGCGCGGCACGCTCACGTTGAAGCGACGTCGAATCACTCTTGTGCCGCCTAGGTCCGCGCGGAGGCGCTCGCGACGCTCAAGCACTCCGCGGCGAAGAGCCGCGGCGTCGTCATCCGCCAGGGCATCGGCCTCGGCGCGCTCTACGCCTGCGCGGCGCTCCACGCGCCGGACAAGGAGAAGGACAAGATCGCGCCCGCGAACACGCACGGCCCGAGCGCCAAGGCCGTCGCGTCCGGGGCAGGAACCGGGTGATTCGACGTCGCGCGCGTTCCGGAACAAGCATCCACGCTTCGCGAGCGCTCCGAGAGATGATCGCTCGTCCAAGAATCAGCCGAACGAGTGGGCCGAGAGAGGCGCCCGGGCGCGTCGCACCCTCGTCCCGCGCAGGTCCGGTCCGCGTTCGACCTCCTCCAGTCCGCGTGCGAGGTCGGCGACTTGATGGAGTCGTCCGTGGCCTTCGGGCAGCGGGGCTGCTGCCGCCAGCTCATGGGGTCGAAGAAGGAGGCCATCGCGGACTTTGAGCGCCAGTTGAGCCAGGCGCAGTCGCACGAGGGCGCGGCGACCGGCTCCGAGTTCTCCGTCGCGCGGCTCCAGATGTCGGCGCTCCGCAACATCGGCGACTGCAACGAGGCCATCGGCGACGCGGCCATCGCCCTCAAGTACGCGCGGGCCCACGTGAACATGGGCGAGCGCGACACGGACCGGACGGTCGTCGCCGACTCCCGGAAGCGGCTCATCTCCGCGTACGCGCAGCTCGCGAACCAGTACACGGCGGAGGAGGAGGACTTCCTCCAGGTCGAGCAGCAGGAGGTTCTGGACCTGGAGCGCCTGAGGAACCTCCACCCGGACCAGCTCGACCGCTTCGAGGAGTCGCCCTACTGGATCGCCGCGAACGCGCGGAACCTCGCGCGACTCCAGCTCGAGAAGTACCGCGACGCGGTCAACGTCCACTTCGCCAAGCCCGAGACGCCGACGAACAACCACGGGGGCGCCAGCCCGACGCGCTTCCCCGAGCTCAAGAACCAGGCGTCGATACGTAACTTCGCGTGAGCCGTCAGGCCTGCCGTCCCGTTTGGCGAATTCTGCCAGTGGTGATTTCAAAACAACGAGTTCTCAGCTGCGAACACGAGAACCGTAGCCGCCGTCGCTAGCCCCCGCCGTCTCCGGCGCTCTCACCACAACACCTCTCGACGCCGTCGGTACCCTGCGACGTGCCACTCCAATTCTAATCGAACGATATCTCGACGTTCACGACGTTCAACGGCTCATCCTCGCCCGTACGGTGCTCCGACCCATCAGCACTTTACGCCGTCGGCTCCCTGGAGATGGCGCAGGCGGTCGCCGCCTTCGTCTTCCCTCGGCGCGAACGCGAGACCGTGCTGATCCGGAGCGACTCGAACTGCGGCACGACGGTCAACTTTTATACGACGACGGGGTATCCGACGCGGGTGACGCGCGAGAACGGGTACCGTCGCCCTGCTGGGGAATTATACAATGATATCTACGTGTTCCTGCGGAACGGACGGTGGATGATTCGAGCGAACTATAATCATAGCAGCTGGAGTTCCAGCCAAACGGAGCAGGAACCGGTCACGGTGAACGGGATCGAGACGTCGTACCGAGTTGTGGAACTCTTCCCTGGCATCTCTTGTTTGACCGTTGGGCGCTTCCGCGCGCGCTTCGTCGTGGACCTCGCGGCCGCGCCGGTGCCGTACGCGGCGAGCGACTTCGCGACGTTGAGCGACGTCGTATCCTCGGAGAACACGCTGGCGTACATCGTCCAGGGCGCCCGGAGCCGGAGCCTCGAAGTCCACGACGGCAGCAGCGGCAGCTGCGTCGTCCGCGGGACCGTCTGCAAGTGGGAGGGCCTCGTCCGGACGTTCGCGCAGGCCGCGTCCTCGGAGACCTTCGACTCCAAGGTCGCGGCGCGGCGCGCGTTCCTCGACGGCCGGTCCGCGGACGAGTGGGTCGTGCTCGTGCCGGAGGACCCGCGGCTCAAGAAGCTCTTCACCGAAAACAAGTACGAGGGCTTCCAAGGCCTCTCGGAATGGCGCGTCTGGGACGAGGCCCGGCGCGCGTACGCGCGGATCCAGCAGCGCATCTCGGGCGCCCTCGCGGAGCGGCGGGACCAGAAGCGCGAGCGGAAGGAGCGCGCCAAGTGCGAGCTCCGCGACGAGGAGGACGACGCGAAGCGCCGCGCGTCGACCGTCGACGCGCGAGACCGCGACGCGACGCCGCTCGTGCTCCAGCTCGTCGTGCCCTTCGGCGGCATGGGCTTCCTCGCGGCGCTCGCGGTCGCGTCGCGCCAGAGCCTGACGCTCGTCGCCGTCGAGGCGCTGGAGCGCGAGCGGCGCGTGCCCTACGGGGACCTGCGCATGGGCCACGAGAGCTCCTACCAAAAGACGCTCTTCGCGGCGACGGACCCCCCGGATCTCTGGCGCGAGGCGCGAGACGCGGCCGCCGCGGCGTCGCTCGCCAAGGACGTCTCGACGTTCGGCGCCGCCTTTGCGGATGAGTTCGGATCGCAAGTACAGCTCGGCTGGACGCGGTACACGGAGCGCAAGTACGCGGCCCACGCGCGCGTCGTCGCCAATCCGCCTCCCCCCCGGACGCCCCTGTGGCAGCGCGTCCTCGTGGGTCCGAGCTCGCTCGACCACGGCGAGTCCTGGCAGAAGCGGCTCTACGCGTCCTCGTACCCGCGGCTCGCGCTCGCGACGCCGGTCGGCGAGTGGTGGACGCGCGCCCGCGTGGACGCCCTCGCGACCGCGCTCCACGGGAAGACGACGAGCTTGACCGCCCTCGTGGATTCATTCGTCGAAGCGCAATTCGCGGATGCGCCGTCGAAGTGCTCGGCCAAGGAGAAGGCCGAGGCAGCGGCCGCCGTCGCCGCGGCGAAGAAGGCCGCGCGCCGGGACGCCAAGTGGGCCGCGAACGCGCTCGTCTCCTGGCGTTCTCGGGCGGCCCTGGGCGGCGAGGATTGGCGCGTGCCCCACTACGTCGTCAACGACGGCTGCCGCGTCGCCGTCGCGCCCGGCCGCCGCGACCTCACCGTCGAGGGCCGCGTCGACGCGCCGCCGCGGCACCCGTCCGAGCTCGTCCCCAGCGGCCAGACCCTCCTCACGTCCTTCTTCGCGAAGCCCCGGGGCTGAGCGACGGCGTCTGACATACAGTTAGTCCCTACGCGTCCCAGCCGACGGGCGCGCCGTCGAGGTCGATCTTCGAGAGGGCGCAGCAGCCGAGGGCGACCTCGGGCAGCTCGTCGTCGTCGCGGCCCTCGAGGACGAGGCACGCGTCCACGGCCGCGTGGGAAAATTTCGCCCAGAGCGCGAAGATCGCGAGGCGCGCGGGGTAGCACCAGTAGCGCAGGTTCGAGAAGACCTCGAAGTAGCCCGGCCCCGACGCCACCCTCGAGCTCCGGTCGAGGAGCACGGGCTTGCCGTTGTAGCGCCGCAGCGGCCGCGGCGCGCGGTCCGCGGCCGCGCGGACGAGGAGCTTCGCGCGGCCCCGCGTGCCCGGCTCGTCCGGCGCGCAGGCCGGGGCCTCGGCGACGTATCTTTGCAGGAGCCGCACGGCCGGCGGCGCCGTCGCCGGGTCCGCCGCCGCCGCCGCCGTCGCCGCCGCGAGCCGGAAGAAGAGGAGCAGCGACGCGGTAGGCCCGGTCCTGTGTGGATTCCGAATCTTCAAGCCGACTTCAATGTGCGCGTAATCAACGGTTTCGACGCGAGGCTTTCTGCCGTGCTTCGAGAACTCGACGAGAGCAATCGATTCGTCCAAAAATCAGCCGAATCGACTTCGGACCCCCCAAACCAGTGGTTGGAATCCACACAGGCCCGGTCTTCGCTTGGCCGTAGACCGCGGGCCGCTCGTTGCGCGGGATCGCCAGGTGCAGTACCCAGACCTCGGGCAACCCGTGGGCGTCGAAGCCGCAGCGCGGCAACGCGTAGCGGCCGCCGGCGCCGGGCGCCGGGTCGCCGTGGACCGCGACGTCGCAGCCGACGAACTCGTAGAGCGCGGGGCCGCTCGGCGCCTTCGCGCCCGTCGCGCCGTAGGCCGGCCCGACGCGCAGGCGCCAGGTCGACGGGTCGCCGGGCGACGCCGACAGCGGGGGCAACGCGCCGCACGGCGCCACGGTTCTCACGTAGCGCCCCGGCGCCGGGCGGCCGTCTTCGTCGTTTTTTGGTGATCTTGGTGGGGGGGTCGGCTGTTTGGCTTCGTCGTTCTTTGGTGGGGGCGGCGCCGCCGGCGCGGCGACGTCCCGCGGCGCGGACGCGCCGCAGCAGAGCCACGGGCGGCCCATAATCGCGCGGCTGAACTCGACGCGTTTGCGGCACGGGTCGCCCAACAGCTTTGTCCACTGCCACAACTGCCACTGGCGAGCTTTTTGAATCAGGCACGGTTCGCGGGAGCCATTTTGAGCTGCCCAGACGCGCGCCGCGAATCGGCCCCTCGCCCGCGCATGGATCGATATGCCCGGCTCGTCGGCGCCTACGCCCTGGCCATCTTCGCCATCTTCCTCACGGTCACGCCTCGGCCGCCGCCGACGCTCGTCGCCGACGTCTGCGAGGGCTGGGTCGCCGGCGTCGGTCGCCGCCTCGACCTGTTCGTCGTCGTCCATTTTTGCTGCTTTCTCTACAGCTCCTCCGTCGTCGGCGCGCGCGTCGCGTACTTGATCGGACTGGTCATCGAAGTGCTCGAGCACGGCGCGAAGCACGTGCTGCCGAACTTCGACGAGTGCTGGTACGACACGTGGCTCCTGGACCTGCTCGGCGCGAACCTGGCCGGATGCCTCCTCGGCGGGTGGCTCGGTCGGGGGCGCCGCGGCGTCCGCGCGCCCCCGGGCTTCGCGAGGCTCTGGTGCTTGTGCGTCGTGTACGCCGGGCTGGTTTTCCACGACTTTTGCTACGGTTGGTACGTCTTCGGGGGGCGCTTCTGGCGCGGCGTCGGCGCCGCGGTCTGGCTCTGCAAGCAGCCGCTGCAGGTCGCGCTCCTCCGGGAGGGGCTCCGCGGCGACGCCAAGACCGCGGCTCGCTTCACGGCGCTCGCGGCGGCCGTGCTCGCCGTCGACGTGGGAGCGCACGCGGCCTGGGGCACCTACGGCAAGCTCCCGGACGAGCTCGGCGCCGCGACGGTCCGCGTGCTCGCGGGCGAGACGGCCCTCGCGGCCGGCTGGGCCGCGCTCGGCCGCCTTTCCGCGCGCCGCGCCGCGCGGACCGCCTAAGCTTGTATGTCTTGTGCACACGAGTTGAGGAATCGAAGCGTCGCGCTTGCGAACGTCGCGCGCGAGCGAGTGTGAATGTGCACGGCCCATGCAAAAAAAAAATCGGCGCTCGAGGCGTCCGCGCGGCGACTCGATTCGAGGCGTTAGCGGGGCGAACGGAAAATGGCCTAGGCGCGCTTCTGGCGGAAGTACTCGGACCACGAGTCGGACTGGTCCCGGGAGGAGCCCCACGCGCGGCGCGCGCGGTCGAACTCGGCGTCGTCGTCGTCGTCGTCGTCGTCGTCGTCGCTGTGGCCGTCGTCGTCGTCGTCGTCGTCGTCGTCGTCGTCGCGGTGGGGCGCCCAGTCGTAGGGGCGGTAGGGGTCCGCCGCGCGCTTCTCGAGCGCGTCGTTCGCCGCGGAGATGCGCTGGAACTGGAGGTGCGCGCGGTGCTTGTGCTCGTCGGACGCGGCGGCGTGGCGGTCCGGGTGCCACTTGATGGACATCTTGCGGTAGGCCCTCTTGACCTCGTCCTCGGACGGCCGCGGGCTCTCGAGGCCCAGGACCTCGTGCGGCTTGAACCGGAGCTTCTCGCGCTCGCGCGCGGCCTTGCAGACCCAGGCGTCGACCTTGGCCTTTGTCGCCGCGGCGTCGTCGCCCGTCTCGCCGGCGAAGGACGCCGCGAGGCCCTCCCAGGCCGCCGCGGCTTTGTCGTGCTCGAGGAGCGCGGCGTCGCACTCGGCGCGCTTGTCCGCGGCCGCCGGGTAGTCCGCGGGCGCGCCCGCGATGGCGACGGCGGCGGACAGCGCCTCGCGCGCCTTGAGGTGCTTGCCCAACGCCATGAGCGACTTGCCCCGGTTGTGGTGGAGCGTCATCACGTTCGCCGGCGACGGCCGCCGCTCCGCGTCGACGCGCTCCAATTCCGCGAGCGCCTGCGCGTAGGACTCCAAGGCCAGCGCGTGCTCGCCCTCCTTGCAGAGGCGGTTCGCCCGCGTCGCCCGGGCCCAGAAGAGCAAGCTCGGGTCCTTGAGCACCCGCTCCGTCCGCGACCACCGCATCTCCGCGGCGCGCGCGGCCGCGGTCTTGCCGCCGTCGTCGACGGCGTCGAGCCGCGCGTTGCACTTGGCCACGAGGAAGCGCGCGAGCTCCGCGCGGTTGTGCAGCGCCGCCGTGTGCAGGGGCGTCGACCCGCCGAGCGCGGCCGCGGCGGCGTTCGCGTTCGCGCCGGATCGGATGAGCAGCTTCGCGACGTCGTCGTGGCCCGCGGCGATGGCCCGGTGGAGCGCCGGCGCGCCCGGGGCCTCGGCGTCGTCGCCGCCGACGCAGGGCCAGGCCGCGGCGCCGTCGCGCGGCGCGCACGCGCGCTCCGCGACCGCGCCGGCCTCCAACAGCGCCGCCGCGGTCCGCGCGTGGCCCCGGACGCAGGCCTCGGCGAGCGCTAAACTCAAAACGCACTCGCCGCACTCGAGGAGCAGCTCGCGCGCGCCGGCGTGCTGCGGGAGCTTGGCCCGGCCCTCGCGCGCGGCCAAAGCGTAGCAGCCGGGGCTCGGCGCGCCGAGCCGCCCCGCGACGCCGAGCGCCGCGGCGTGGGCCCGCGAACGCGACGCCGCGGCGCGCGCGGCCTCGGACGGCGCGCCGGCGGCGGGCGCCGGCTCGTCGCTCGACGCCGCGGACCGGTCGCTCTCGGAGCCGTCGTCGGCCGGCGGCGGCCGGTCGTCGTCGTCGTAGTCGTCGTCGTCGTCGGACGCGGCGGCGGCGGCGGCCGGCGCTTCGGCGGAAACGGCCGGCGGCGGCGCGGCGAGGTCCGCGATGAGGAAGAGCGCGCCGAGCGACCGGCACCGCTCGTCGCGGAGCTCACGCTTCGCGTCCGCGGCCTCGGCGTCCGCGCGCGCGGCCGACGCCGCGGCGTCGCCGGCCTCGCGCCGCGCCGCCGCCAGGGACTGCCTGAGCTCCTCGAGCTCCTCGCGGAGCTCCTCGGCGTCCTCGCGCGCCTCGTCGAGCGTCGCCTGCAGCGCCGCCTCCTTGCGCTGCTGCTTCAGCTCCCACTGCGTCGTCAGGCGCAGCACGGCCGACGACAGCTCGCTGTGCTCGTCCGCCGGCGGCGCGCGCCGGCGCATGGTCGTCGGCGGTCGCCGGTCGCGGCGCGGCGCGCGGATTCGTACGAGTCGCTGCCGGACGCTGCTGGACTCCACAAGCTCGAGCAGTCTCGATGTGCAACTCCGGCTTGTTGACATCTGGGGGCAGCGTCTGGGCCTGCCCCGCGCGCGCCGCCGCCCGCGCTCCTCGGGATGATCGCGGCGGACATCGCGGAGCTCGACAGCCGGCTCAAGCAGCTGACGCTGCAGATCCGGGACAAGGAGCTCGCGCTCTTCACTACCAACTTTGGCGTGCTGGGCACGAAGAGCGCCTTCCTCTGCGGCCTGGGCTGGAGCGGGCTGACCATGGTGCCGGCCTGGCAGCATGCCTACGAGCACCCGCACCGGCTCGCGCTGGCGCTCTTCTACGCCATGGACGCGCTGAGCATCTGCTTCAATTTGGCGACGATGGCGCTGTCGACGTGGTGTATGGTCAACGGGCCCATGCTCGCGATCCGCGGCCCGTCGGGGAGCATGGGCCGGGCCGTCGCGGGCATGTACGCGGAGCGCAAGTGGGCCCTGCGGAGCTTCTGGACGGGCAACCTGAGCATCCTCCTCGCGTCCGTGGCGCTGGGCTGGGTCAAGTTCGAGGTCGAGATCGCCGTCGCCATCACGGTCATCATCGCCTTCTTCGTCTTCCTGCTGGGCTACTACATCAAGCAGGTCACGCGGCCGCGCTTCCGCCTCCCGGCGAACACCGTAGGCAAGCGGCCCCAGACGCGGAATCCCGAGGAGGAGGCGGACCGCGCGCCCCGGGGCCTCATCGGGTCGGGCGACTTCGACGACCTCGAGCGCGCGGCGAGCCCGGCGAGGCCCCGGCTCGGCGCGAGGTAAGGGGCGCCGCCGGAGGAACGAGTTTACGCGGGCGCGAACCGGTCGGGCAGGTGGTCCACCTGGACCGCGGCGGCCGCGGCGGCCGCGAGCGGCGCGTCGCCGCGGTACTCCGGCGGCCCGCCCGGCGCGAAGAGCGCGCAGGGCGCGTCCGGCGACGACGTGCCGAGCGCGAGGAGCGTCGCGAGGTCGTCGCGCGCGTCGCGGTCCGCGTCGAACCGGGCCTCCATCTCCGCGAGGTCCAGGAGCGCGACCTCGCGCTGCGCGTGGCGCACGCGGCCCGCGAGGTTGCGCTTCGCCGCCTGGCGCTTGAGCACGTGCTCCTCGAGGGAGTGGGCCGTCGCGAGCGTGTAGATGAACGTCGGCCGCGTCTGGCCGTCGCGCCAGACGCGCGCGGCCGCCTGGTCGTCGTCGGCCGGGTTCCACGACGGCTCGAAGAGGATGAGGCGCGACGCGCCCGTGAGCGTGAGGCCCACGCCGCCGGCCTTGAGCGCCAGCAGCAGCAGGAAGACGCCGCCGTCCGGGTCGTTGAGCGCGGCGGCCGCGTCGCGCCGCGCGTCGAGCGCCGTCGCGCCGTCGACGCGCGCGCAGCCCCAGCCCCGCCGCGCCGCGAGGGCCGCGCCCGCGTCGAGCGTCGCGGCGAACTGGGACACGAGCACGACCTTCTCCCGCGCGTCGTTCGCGCGCATCGAGTCGAGCAGCCGCTCCGCGAACGCCCACTTGCCGACGGTGTCGCCGCCGTCGTCGAGCGCGGGGTCCAGGGCCTTGACGGACGAGCACAGATGCTTCGCCGCCGTGAGGGCCCGCAGCCCCTGGGCCTTCGTCGCCCGGGCCGCGAAGAGCGCGCGCTGCGTCGGCGTGGCATCGACGAAGACGAGCGCGTCGCGCCGCCGCGGCAGCGAGCCCAGGAGCGCGGGCGCGTCCTCGACGCCCCGGCGCAGCGTCCGCGCCGACAGCGCCGACCGCAGGGCCCGGGCGTCGGCCGCCGCGTCGCCCGACGCCGGGCCGAGCGCGCCCGCGAGCCGCAGCAGATTCTCGAGCTCGGGCACGCCGTTCTGCACGGGCGTCGCGGTGACGAAGAGCTTCTTCCGCGCGGGCGAGTCGCCGATGGCCGCGGCGGCCTCGACGCGGTCGTCGCCGCCCTTGAGGCGGTGCGCCTCGTCGCAGACCAGCAGGCCGACGTCCTTGATCGCGTTGACCGCGGCGGCCTTCGCGCGGTAGCTCTCGTAGGAGATGACGAGCACGGGCTTGGAGGACAGGGGCGCGCGGGCGAAGCGCGCGACGGCGTCGTCGGGGTCCGCGTCCCAGTCGTCGCGCGCCGCGTCGCCGTACTTTTTCCGCTCGCGCGCGTCGACGGCCCGGGCGACGCGCTTCCGCCTTTTGAAGGCCCGCAGCTCCGCGGCGTCGGCGTCGGCGAAGAAGCAGCAGTGGGGCGACCCGCCGGCCTGGGCCCGCGCGGCGCAGCGCTCCGTGGGGCGGAGCCACTTCTTCGCTTCCGCCAGCCACGTGTGCGCGACGCCCGCCGGGCACGCGATCACCGCGCGGAAGCTCCGTTCCGTCTCGAGGGCCGCGGCGCCGTCGACGCCCATGAGCACGCCGAGGGACGCCAGCACCGTCGCCGTCTTGCCGAGGCCCATCTCGTCCGCGAGCACGCAGCCCTGGTTCTGCCAGAGCCGCGCGCAGACCCAGCTCACGCCCTCGACCTGGTGCGGCCGCAGCGTCTCCAGCAGCCGGTCGCCGAGCCGCGGGCCCTCGGCCGCGCAGCGGCCCCGAGCGAGGTCCGACGCCTCGCGCCGCGCGTCGCCGCCGTAGAAGCCCGGCATGCGCCGCGGCTCCGGGCCCGCGACGGCCTCGGCCGCGCGCCACGCGCGCGCCTCGTCCTCCGTCTCCCGCGGCGCGTCGCCGCCCGGCGCCGCGGCGGCGGCGCGGGCCACGGCGGCGGCGGCGGCCTCCTTCGTCGCGCCGAGCGCCTCGCGGCTCAACAGCGACGGGTGCGGCGGCCGCCTCGCGCGCGCCGCGCGCCGCGGCGGCGGCGGCTTCTTCGGCTCCTTGGGCGGCGGCGCCCGCGACGCGAGCAGCTGCGCGTTCGACAGCAGCGCGCGCGCCCGCTGCGACCCGGCGCGCTGCGCGCTCGGGAGCACCGGCGCCGCGGCCGCCGGCGGCGGCAGCGGCGCGCCGCCGGGGCCCGACGTGAAGGCGAAGGGCTTCTTCTTCGGCGGCGCGCCGCTCATGGTTTTCGATGCTGCGACGAGCTCTAGCGTCGCTCGCAACGAGCGACGAGCTAACAGCGTCTCAGGCGCCTAGGCCGTCGATTTAAATGCCATGCTCAATGGATAGCCGGTTCTACAGGTCGTGGTTGAAGGTCGTGCAAATTCAACATGGAGTCGGGCCGCGCACGATGAGTGGCCCATAAAAGGAGCCCGGCTGCCCCATGGGCAAGAAGAAGCAGGATGCGAAGGCGGCGGATGACGACGCCGTGCTCCTCGCCGCCCAGCGGCGGCCGCCGTCGCTCGCGCTCTTCGCCGCGGCCCTCGTCGCCTGTTGCGGCGTCGCCTTCGAGGTCGGCCGGCGGTCCGCGGCCTGCGAGGCCTGCGCGGCCTGCCCGGAGCCCGTCGCCGCGGCGCCGAGCGACCACAAGAGCTGCCCGCCCTGCCCCAAGGACAAGAAGAAGGGCCGGAAGGAGAAGGCGCCGCGCGCGTGGATTACCGACGACGAGGCCGTGGCGCTCGAGCTCTGCTCGTCGCAGGACGACACCCACCGCTGCGCGCCGGCGCTCGCCGACGGCGTGCCCGACGCGCTCACGGACGGCGCGACCTTCAACAAGTTCGCGCGGGCCGGCGTGCCCTGGGTCGCGCGGAACACGACGCTCGCGGGCCCTACAGACCTCCGGGCGTGGCTCGACGGCGTCGGGCCGCTCGCGCCCGTGCGCGCGTCGACGCTGCCGGACAACGCCTACGGCGTCGCCTACCTCGGCGAGCTCGTCGCCGGCGCCGGCGAGACGCCCTTCTACGCGCCGCAGATCCCCTGCGCCGCCGCGCCCTCCATGGAACGCCACCTCGGCGTCGCCGCCGCCGCGCGGCAGGTCCTGGGGTCGAAGACCGACGCCTGCAACGTCTGGTTCGGCGCGGGGTTGAGCGACGACCCGGACGACAGCGACCGCGTCGGCGTCACGGCGCTCCACTACGACCACAGCCACAACGTCTACACGCAGCACGCGGGGCGGAAGCGGTTCGTGCTCCTGCCGCCGCACGCGCGGAAGCACCTCGCGCCGCTGCGGAACATGGCCGGCGTCATGATCAGCGAGGCCCGCGCCAAGCACTGGGGCTACGTCGACAAGACGCCCATCGACCCGCCGCGGCTTTTGACGCTCAAGGGCGGCGCGCGGTTCACGATGATGGCCGCGAAGCAGGACCTCGCGGCGCTGCCCCTCGACGTCTTCCACAACTTCGGCCTCGACGACGCGCGGCGCGGCGCGGCGACCGTCGACGCCGCGTTCCTCGCGAGGCACGCGATCGTCGCGGATCTCGGGCCCGGCGACGTGCTCTACGTGCCGCCGTTCTGGTACCACGAGGTCACGTCCTACGGCGGCGTCTCCGTGAGCCACAACCACTGGTGGAACACGGCGGGCTGGATGGACCAGATCATGAAGAAGCTCGACAACGTCGCGTCGTCGCAGATGCCGCAGACGGCGAAATTCGCCAAGCCCGAGGGCGCGACGGGCCTCCAGCCCGCGGCCGCGCTCCAGGCGACGTGCGGCTACGCGAACCACTGGGCCGTCGGCGCCGCCAAGTGGCCCTGCCAGGCCGTCGAGCCCGCGAACCCGCCCCACGTGAACCTCCAGGCCGAGCTCCGGACCGCGTGCGCGCGGGCGCGCGGCTGCGCCGTCGCCGACGTCAAGGAGCTCCTCGGCGACGCGCCGACCTGGCACCAGACCTTCGCCGAGGCGAACCCGTCCTACCGCCAGCCCTTCCAGGAGAACGGCCTCCTCAAGAACCGCAAGAAGCACCTCTGATTAATGTTCGTGGATCGCCTTAGGCGTGGGTGGCGGCCTGCGTGAGCAGGTGCTCGTGCGCGCGGCCGATGCGGTAGCCGGGCGCCGCGGACGCGACGGACTCGTCGAGGTATGAGGATACAAAGCGCCGGAATTTCTCGCGCGTAAATTTGTCTGCCCAGGCGAGCACGATGGTCTCACGAGAGTAGAAAGCAGCGTAACAGTAATGGAAGATAGCATCGTCGTAGGTCAAGCGATGGCGCGGTCGGTACAACAAGAAACGATTCTCGCAACGGACATCGTGGAACCCGTAGGTACCATCGTGCCGCAGTCGGCGCCAGGGCCAGTCCTCCCCGTGCTGTCCGTCGCCCTCGTCTACTATGAAGTACAGCCATGTGCAGTCTTCGAGAACTTCGTTCATGAGACTCCAGTATTTGGCCGCTTCCTCGTAAGCGCATAAATGGACGTGGATATCTCCATCCCCCAACTGGAGCCATCGGTCATCATCGAATCTTTGCAGGAAATTAGTCTCGAAGAGACGAGTTACTGGCATCTCGATAGGGAGCTCCTGCACAGCTGTCATCCACTTCGGCATCTCCGCTTCGGGCGCGATGATCAGCACATTCCCAACCACATTTTTGGTTCGTAGAAAGAGGAATAAATTCACGAAGCTCGCCGCGCTCGACGTGCCATCAGTTCCGACTCCATCTTCAACCCGCCCCGAGAGACCATTTTCAAAGCGGCGGACGAGGTTGCCAACCAGCGGGTTAAGCAAATACGGCGATTCCGCGTCGTGGACCTCGTTGTCAACGGCGTAGAGAAGGCTGGACAGCACATTTTTGTCAAATTTTTTGTGCTTCTCGAATTTCTCGTGGATCTCCGCCATATCCGACTGCGCCCACAGGGCTGCCTCGTCGAGCGCCTCGAGACGCGCGCCCACGACGCGCCAGCGCTGATTGACCGCCGAGGCGCGGCCGCGCTCGACGGGGTCAAAATACTGTAGCACATCGTCGGCGAGCTCGTTCCCGACGAGTTGAGTAGCGCGCGCGCCGAGGCCCGAAGCGAACCAGCTACGCGAAGGCGCGACGACGCGCGCCGAGGCCGAGCTCATCTCGCAATTCCAAGTGGAGGTTCCGTGTGGCCGATGTTGCCCAGCGCTTGCCGTCAAACAAGCACGATGGCTCTCGCTTTTAAGGGCTGCTCCGGTAAGCAGTGCAGGCGCTGAAGCGCCGATGATGATCCTCTGGCTCGTCGTCGCCGCCGGCGCCCGCGTCGCTGCCAAGGCGCCAGCCGGCCATGGCACCGTCCGCCATGGCACCATCCACCAGACGAAAAGGCACCATCCGCATCCCGCTCGCATCCCGCAGGCGACCACGCTCAACACGCCGCGCTCCAACGCGACGGCACCAACTAAACACACCGGCGAAAACTACGGCCTCGGCAAGCCGAACCTGCTCATCTTCAACCTCGACGACGCGGGCTACGGCGACCTGCCCGACAACGAGGGCTCGGCGTTATCGGCGAGCGACGCGCCGCACCTCGCGGCGCTCGCCGCCGAGAGCCTGCGGCTCACGGACTTCCACGCGGCGGCGTCGGTCTGCACGCCGAGCCGCGCGTCGCTCTTGACGGGGCGCTTCGCGATGCGCTTCGGCCTCATCGCGGTCCTGGGTCACGGCGACGCGCGCGGCCTGCCCTTTTCGGAGCGGACGCTGCCCGAGATGCTGCGCGACGGCGCGGGCTACGTGAGCGCTATGGCGGGCAAGTGGCATCTGGGCAACGGCGACGCGCACCACCCGAGCCGCCACGGCTTCGACGAGGCGCTCACCATGCCCTGGAGCCACGACATGGGCTGCTTCGAGCCGTGGCCCTGCAGTTACGGCCGCGACGTCTTCGTCCACGCGGCCATGCGCGCGCCGACGGCGAAGCTCCGGCGGTCCTACGCCGACTGGCTCTTCGCCTTCTGCCGGCGCGGCGGCCAGCCCTCGCAGGGCCTCGACTTTCGGAAGTTGAACGTCAAGTACGACCCGCGGTGCCCCGCGGAGCCCTGCGGAAAAAAAGGCAGGCGCCTCGCCTTCCGCGGGGACCCGCTCCAGCACTGGCGCGACGCCGCAAACGCCGAGAACCTGCCGGGCCACGCCCTGTCGATCCCGCTGACGTGGACGAACGCGTCGTGCTCCGGGCAAAACTCCTGCGAGGCGCTCGTCGTCGAGCAGCCCGCGGCGCCCTGGCGCCTCGGCGCCAAGTTCGTCGCCTTCGTGCGCGGCTTCGTCGGCCGCGTGACGAGCCGGGTGAGCCACGCGCCGGACGAGCCCGGCGCCGCGTACCGGCCGTTCTTCGTCTACGTCGCGCCGCACGCGCCCCACGGGCCCTGGGTGCCCGCGCCCGAGTGGCAGCGGACGCCGCGCAACATGACGCGCGACACGCCCTTCGCGGCCTATTTGGACACCATGGCCGAGGTCGACGCGACGCTCGGCGGCGTGCTCGACGCCTTCGAACGCGTGAGGAACGACACGCTCGTCGTCGTCACGAGCGACAACGGCCAGTTCGAGCAGCTCGCGACGAATTTTCACACGCGGAGCAACGGGCCCTTCTCCGGCGGCAAGTTCAGCCCCCGCGAGGGCGGCCACCGCGTCATGGGTTTGTTGCGGTGGCCCGGGGTCATTCGACCGGGCGTCTCCGACCGCTTGTTGTCGCAGCTCGACGTCGTGCCGACGTTCCTGGGCCTCGTCGCGCCCCGCGCGCTGCCCGGCGTGCCCCTCGACGGCGAGGATTTAGGGCCCTGGCTCTTCGGCGGGAACGATACGGCGCCGGGCGATCGGACGCTCCTCGTCTGGCACTGCTGCGGCGCGCAGTTCCACGCCGCGCGCGTGGGCCGCTACAAGGTCTGGTTCGAGAACGACGCCAAAATCGCCCCGGGGTCCATCTACGACCTCGCGGACCGGCCCGACGAGGCCCGGCCCGCGGCGCCGCCCGACGACGACGCCGCGGAGATCCGGGCGAGGGCGTACGCCGCGACCGAGGCGTTCTTCGCGTCCCAGGACTGGCCCAGGTCCGAGCAGGACCACGCCACGTCCTGGACCTGGCGCCACTTCCCCGAGGACGACCGGGGGCCGCCGCTCGTGGCGACGTGCTGCGACCGGAAGCGCGTCGACTGCCGCTGCCCGTTCCCTGGCGGCGGCCTCGCCGCGCTCGCGACGCGCGCGCCCTTCGAGTTCGCCCGGACCTTCCCCGACGACGACCCGCGCTGCGAGGCACCGCCGGGGTAATTATGTTGAGGAGTGGGGCCTCCTAGAGCCGCGCCTCGACGGGCGCGGGCGCGGGCGGCGCGGCGCGCGGCAGCGGCGGCTCCGCGTCGTAGAGCAGGTTCACGCCGACGTCGCGGGCGATGGTCTCGTCCGTCGCTGCGGCGGAGGAGAAGATCGACAGGGCCTCCATGTTCATGGTGACCATGCCCTTGAGGAGCGTGCGCCGGAGCTCGTCCTCCAGAATCTTCCGGCGGCGGCGGCCGTCGACGACCTCGTCCTGGAGGAGCGTCACGCGGGCCCGCAGCTTGTCGAGCTCGGACTCGTAGCGGCCGACGATCTCGGAGGTGACGTTCTTGAGCTTCTGCTCCGCCCGCGCCTGGGCGCGCGCGCTGTGGGAGCCGTGGACGTAGCGGTGCCACGCGCCGAGGCACTTGGCCTTGACGTTGCGCTTGCAGAGCGCGACGGCGAGGTGCGTGAGGAGGCGGTCCGCCTTGTCCGTCGCGGCCACGCGCACCCAGCTCAGGAAGATGTTCTGCTTGTTGAGCGCCTTCTTGCCCGCGAGGTGCCGCTGCGCCGCCGTCCACGACGCGGACTCGGAGTCGCGGACGAGGCCGCCCATGGAGTGGCGCAGGAGGTCGAGCTGGTGCTTGAGGCTCTCGTTGGCCTCGCGCAGGTCCGCGACCTCGCGCGCGTGGGCCTCGTCGCGGGCGCGCCCCTGCGCCTCGAAGGACTCGACGAGCTGCTTCTGCATGCCGGCGATTTTTTCCATGGTCTGCACGGCCATGTACTGGTGGTGCTCCGTGAGGAAGGTGCCGACGCCCTGGAGGGCCTCGTCGTCGTAGACCGGCGCGGCGCCGCGGCTCGGCTCCATGGCAATTGGCTTCCGGGCAGCCTCCAACCGCGCCTTTTGATCGCGGGTCGTCGACACGTTGAGGTCGGCGCGTCTCCGAACGTGCACCGGGAGTTTTGGGGCAGCCATTATTGCGAGTGGTCCGCGTCCTTCCTCGTCGGGGAGCATGGCCCGCCGGGCCCTCCTGCTGGCGGGATTTCTGGCGGCCGCCAGCGGCGACGACGGCCTGCTCCAGATCCGCCTCGCGACGCTCGAGAGCGACATCGACGCGCTCCTGACGGTGCCCTGGCCGCCCCTGGCCGTCACGGCCCAGGTCTTCGCGACGGGGCTCGTCGGGTCCAGCGTCGTCGGCGACCTCGCCTCCGACGACGACCTGCGGAGCACCCTCTGGCTCCTCATCCGGTCCATGCGGGCCCAGGCCGCGGTCTACATGATCTACGTCGGCGACGAGAACGGGACGTTCGTCGGCTACTACGGCGAGGGCCAGACCAATCGCGGCGGCGACTTCTACTACACGATGCTCGACGGGCCCGCCTGCGACTTCTCCGGGGCCTGCCGCAAGTACTTCGACGTCGACCAGACGTCGGGCCAGCCCCCCTGCGACGGCGACGCGGAAGTGTACGCGGTCGGCGAGTTCTGCTTCGCCGACGACTACTACGACGTCGCGTCCTACGACCCGCGCGCGCGGCCCTGGTACGCCGGCGCGCTGGAGACGGCGGCGAGTGCGTCCTGGAGCGACGTCTACATCTTCGCGGACGACGCCGCGCCGGGCATCTCGGCCGTGGACCGCCTCTACGACGCGGACGGAAGCTTCGCGGGCGTCGCGGCCGTGGACTACAAGCTCTCGGCGATCGAGGGCCTCGTCGCGGCGGCCTACAACTACTCGGAGGACGGGTCCATCGCCTTCATCGTCGAGCCCGACGGCGACCTGATAGCGGCGAGTCTGCCGAACGTCGCGCTCGCGTACGACGCGTCGGGGGACCTCGCGCAGGTGCCCGCGGCGGACTGCAGCGCGCCTCTCATCCGCGCGGCCTACGCCCACGGCGGTGATAGCGAGTTGGACCTGCTGACCGTCGACGGCGCCCAGTACTGGATCCTGCGGTCCGTCCTCGCGGACGCGTTCGGGTTGCGGTGGAACTTCACCGCGCTGCACCCCACGGAGTGCCCCGCGGGCTACGGCCTCGAGGGCCTCGCGTGCGCCCAGTGCGACCCCGAGGACCACATGACGTCCGACGCGGGCTCGACGCTCTGCGACACCTGCGCCGAGGGCTACTACAAGTACGCGAAGGACGGCGAGCAGCGGTGCGCGGCGTGCTCCGACGCGGGCGACTGCGACGACCTGGGGCTGGACCCCGACGGCCCAACGTCGCTCGTCCACGTCGGCTTCTTCGGCGGCTTCGCGGACCCGGACAACGCGTCTTTGAGTGTGGGCGGGGGGCTCCTCGAGGCCGCGGCGATCGCGGCGATGGCCGCGGACCACTTCAACGCGAGGAACACCACAATAATCGACTGGGGCGTCGGCGACTGCGACGCCAAACTCCAGCTGACGTTCCACGAGACGCGCACGGTCGCCTCCGAGGGCATCCCGGCCTACTACGACGCGAACGAGTTCCTCGACGTCGTCGTGGGCCCCGCGGCGTCCGCGGTCGCGGAGCCCCTGGCGACGCTCGCGGAGATCGACGACGTGCCGCTGATCTCCTACGCCGCCGGGTCGGCGCTCCTCGACGAGTACGCCTACTTCGCGCGCGCGAACCCGTCCGTGGAGGCGTCCGCGGACGCCGTCGCCGACTGGTACGCGACGCACGGCTGGTCCCACGCGGCGATCCTCTACGAGAAGACGAACACCTACGGCCTCACGGCCATGGAGGCCTTCCGCACGGCCGCGGGCTTCCGGGGCGTGAGCGTCGCGTCGTCGGGCTACGACGCGGGCGATGCCGGCAGCCTGGGGTCCGCGCTCGATTCCGTGCTCGCGGCGACGTACGACGTCGTCTACGCGATTTTGGACCCGTCGGACCTCGGCCTGCTCGTCGCCGCGGCGGCGGACCGCAACGTCACGGGCGGCGACCTCCACTGGGTCTTCGGCGACTCGCCGTCGGCGGCGGACGTCGAAGCGGCCGCGGCCGCCGGCTACGCGGACGTGCTCCGGGGCTCGACGCAGGTCTCCGCCTGTGTGGATTCCAAACCTTCAACCCGACTTCAATGTGAGCGTATTCGACGGTTTCGACGCGAGGCTTTCTGCCGTGCTTCGAGAACCCCGCGAGAGCAATCGATTCGTCCAAAAATCAGCCGAATCGACGTCGATTTGACCGAGATAGAGAATTCTCAAGTTTGGTGCGGACCCCCCAAACCAGTGGTTGAATTCCACACAGGTCTACGCGGTCGACCGCTCGCGCGACGACGCCACGAACGCGGCTTTTGATGTTGCCTACGCAACACAAAGCGTCGAGGCGTTCAACCGGCGCAGCAAGATGGCGGGCCCGCGCGCGGTCCTGCCGGCCGGCTTCTTCGACGCGGAGCCCGACGCCGCGGCGCGGAGTCGCTTCGCGTACGACGCGGTCGCGGCCGTCGGCCTCGCCGCCTGCGCCGTCGGCCCGGGCGTCGCGGGGAGCGCCCTGCGCGACGCCCTCTGGGCGTCGCGCTTCGCCGGGGCGACGGGCGCCGTGGAGCTCGCGAGCGACACGGGGTCGCGCGACGCGTCGACGGTGACGTTCGTCGCGTCCAACTACGTGGGGAACGGCAGCGCCCTGAGCGTCGTCGGCGTGGGCACCTGGGAGGCCGGGCCCCAGCGGGGCCGGGCCTGGCTCAAGGGGAGCTGGTCCATGGAGGAAGAGGTCGTCTTCTACGACGGCACGTCGACGCCGCCCCCGGACACGTCGGGCGACGACTCCGCGTCCTGCGGCGCGGGCCTCTACCTCGCGCGCGGCGTCTGCACGGCGTGCCCCGCGGGCACCTACCAGCAGCTCGCGGTCAACGAGGGCGGCGCGAACTCGTGCCAGCGGTGCGACTCGACGTCGTTCGCGGCGGCGCCGGGCTCGTCGACGTGCGAGAGCTGCGGCGCCGACGCCTTCATCCTGGGATACGCGCTCGGGTCGACGTCCCGGAACGACTGCGCGTGCCTCGCGGGCACCTACGCGGACGGCTACCCGCTGACGCGGTGCCGGAGCTGCCCCGACGACGCGTCGTGCGACGCAGGGCAGGAAAAGAGTGCTTCAAGTTCGCCTCAACATGAGCGTTCCGCGCGCGCCGTTCCGGAAAAAGCATCCACGCGTCGAGAGCGCTCCGAGAGGTGATCGCTCGTCCAAAAATTAGCCGAAACGAGTTGAAAACGACCGAGAGAGGAGCCTCCAAAGTTGGGAATTTCGCACCCTTTTCCTGCCCAGGTGCGACGGCGGCCTCACGGGGCCCTACCCGAAGCGCAACTTCTGGCTGAGCGGCGTCGAGTACCGGTCGACGGTCGAGGCCTACCGCTGCAAGCACGCCTACCTCTGCCCCGGCGGCAAAGGGCCCGCGACGTGCGCGTCCGGAGACTACGGGCCGAACAACTGCGTCGACGCGGACAACGGCAACGTGAGCCTCACGGACCACGACTGGTGCGCGACGGGCTACTCGCCGAAGCAGCCCCTCTGCGAGGGCAACAAGCACGGCTTCTTCTTCATCGACACGCAGGCGACGAGCTGCCCGGACATGAACGCCGCGCTGTTTACCGTTTTGTGCTGGATCGGGCTGCTGGGGTCCTTCGTCGTCATCAACGACGTCATCCGGCCCCAGTACCCCATGCTGGACGTCGTGCTGGGCACCTACCAGGACCTGGGCATCGTCGGCGGCCTCTGGTTCCACTGGCCGCGGTCGCTGAACACGGTCTTCTTCGTCTTTACGATCGCGCTCTTCGACGTCGACATCTACTCGCCGACGTGCTGGTTCCCGACGTGGTCGTCGACGCACACCTTCGCTTTGATGCTCACGCTGCCCCTCTTCTTCTGGGTCGTCAAGGCCGTGCGGTTCCTGCTGACCACGAAACGGGACGAGAACGCGAAGGACGACCTCCTGTGCAGCGGCCTGAGCTTCTTGGTCGGCTCCCAGGCGTCGCTCATCACCTACTGCCTCCGCCCCTTCGCCTGCCGGAGCATCGCGGGCGTCGGGCGCGTCCGCGCGCACGACCCGACGAAAGCGTGCGGCACGGACGCGATCTGGTACATGCGCGTCGCAGTGTGGATTCCACCCACTGGTTTGGGGGGTCCCCACCAAACTTCAGAACTCTCTATCTCAATCAAATCGACGTCGATTCGGCTGATTTTTGGACGGATCGATCGCTCTCGTCGAGTTCTCGAAGCACGGCAGAAAGCCTCGCGTCGAAACTGTCGCGTACGCTCACATTGAAGTCGGGTTGAAGATTTGAATTCGGCACAGGCGCGTCGTCGGCGTCGTCTACGCGGGCTCCGTCGTCGTGCTGCTCACGGCGGCGATCTGCTACCACCTCAACGAGCGCAAGAACGAGAACCGGCTCCACGACCCCCAGACGCTCCGCCGCTTCGGCTTCATGTACACGCCGTTCCGGAGCCACGCGCGCGACCGCGCGGATTTACTTCAATATGTGCGACGGTTTCGACGCGGGCTCTCGTGCTCTCCGTCGAGGACTCGACGAGAGCACGCGACTCGTCCAGAAATCAGCCACATCGAAGTGACCGAGCGAGAGAGTGTGGCCCCGACGTCCCGGCTCACCGGTCGAGTCCCGCGCAGGCGCTCTACTGGAATCTGGTCCGCCTCGCGAAGCAGGCCGTGCTCGTGGCGATCCAGGTGCTGCTCTGGGAGTTCCCCATGGCCCAGGGCCTGGCGTCGATCTTCGTGCTCCTGGGGCCGACGGTCGCGGAGGCGTGGGTGCGGCCGAACCTGTCCGACGAGGCGAACACGTGCGAGATCGGCGGCAACTGCCTGACGATTCTCGTGCTCGTCATGGGCATCGTCTTCACGAACGGCGGCGACACGCCGACGGCGCCCTTCGAGGTCTGCTTCTTCATCGCCCAGATCCTCTACCTGTGCTACGCGCTGCGCGCGACGTTCCAGGACTTCGACGAGGTGCACAAGACGTCGCACGCGCGCGACTTCTTCGACCGGCTCAGCGTCGAGAAGACGGGCAAGCCCATGCCCGACCTGGAGATCTTCGACACCTTCGACGGCGCGACGCTCCTGCGCCTCGTCCACGACGAGACCTTCGACACGGACAACGCGCTGCCGCTGGTCCTCGAGCTCGAGCGCGTGCTCGCGGACTACGTGAGCGACTCGTCGCTCGTGAGCAACTTCAACAAGAGCCACACGGCGACGTTCTACCGGCGCCTGATCCGGTTCATGCCGGGGCTGCCGGACATCGTGGTGGAGGCGCCCGCGGAGGAGCGGCGGCAGCTGGCGAACGTGCTGAGCCTGCTCGAGCGCGAGGACCGCGAGCGGTCCAAGGTCGGCTGCAAGCCCGCGGTTGTCCGCGCGCGAATCAAATCTTCAACTCGACTTCGATGTGACCGAGCGAGAGCATTTCAAAGTGTGGTCGGGACGTCCCGAACCGGCGGTCGATTCGCGCGCAGGCGGTCGTGCACTGCGTCCGCGACATCGACCAGTCCTCCGTGCTCTACTTCGCGTTGCACGCGCGCGCGAACGACGTCGAGCAGTTCGGGGATTTCTTGCTGCGGCTCATCAATTCGACGCAGAAGCTCCGGCGGTCGCGGCGGAACCTGCTCAAGCACCGCGCGACGATCGCGATCCAGCGCGCCTGGCGCCGGCGCAAGCTCGGCGCCGCGGGCGCGATCCTGGCGCACCTCGAGGCGACGTCGGGGAAGCACGTCACCCGCCGGACCTTCCGCGCGCGGAATTCGGTCACGGGCGGATCCGCGGACTACTCCGAGGGCGACGACGCGCTCGCGCGCATGCGCGCGGGCTTCGCCACGGCGTCCTCCTCGGCGCGGAAGCTGGAGGCCGGCGGCGCGGCCCTTGGCCGGCGGCTCCTCGGCCGCGGCCGGTCGCACTCGGACGAGGAGGACCCGACCGACGAGGCCGCGCCGCTCGCGCGCGACCCGCCGCCGCCGCCGCGGCGCGCGTCCGGGCCGGGGCCCGTCGACGAGCCCCCGCCGGAGCGGGACCAGCGGAGCCGCATCTTCGGCGTCATGGTCGGCGACTCGTGGGTCAACGACGTCGTCTGCTACTCGAACGGCGCGGACCGCGACGACCACGTCGTCGTCTGCTACAGCAACGAGGGCGAACAGGACGAGCGCGCCGTCGCGAAGGCCCGGCAGCAGGCGTCCCGCCTCCCCGTCGAGGTGCCCTAGGGCGCTAACGCGCGTTTTAATCGCCCGGGGCGGCGCGGCGCGCGCGGCGACGCGCGGCGGCGTCACGGCGCCGGGAGGTCCGTCCGGAGGCTCTCCGCCGCGATGCGCCCGACGGCGATGGCGAAGGCGATCCACGCCGCGCAGAGCGGGATGCCGACGACCGCGAGGAACGTCTTCACGGTCATGAGCTTCGGCTCGCGGACCGGCGCGGGGACCGCGCGGCGCCGGTCGGCGCTGTGGCGCGCCTGCTCGCGGGCCATGCGCTCGACCTCGGCGAGGCCTCGCGCGCGCTCCACCATGCCGCCCTTGTAGCCGCCGGGGGGCGAGGCGATGGAGCGAGGAGACGGCATGGTTTGAAGCGGCGGAGACGACATGTTTTGTTCAAAGCGGTGGACGATCGCTTCGAGGGGCGGGGCGTCCCAGGGCGGGTTGATGGTGCGCGTAAGACTTCTCCGGAGCGGGGCGGTTGTTTGATGTGGCGCACGCGGGGCGCGGAGCTCGGGGGGTCCTGTAGACCAAGAGCAAAACTGAGGTAATCGGCGAGCAGTGGCAGATCAGTGGCGAGCTGCGATAGGCGGTCTAATGGACGACGCGCGCATGGAGCGGATGTCGAACGCCGTCGGGCGAAGCCTCGCCGGTATGTCCACGAGCCGGAATGTCCACGAGCCGGAGCCCAAGCCCCCCGGCGCCTTGTTCGATGAAACGGGGCGGGTGGTCGACGAGGCAAGCATCGAGTGGCAGCTGCAATTCTTCGCCTCCTGGACGAACGAAGACTTCGCCCTGGGGCTCTTCGCGGGCATCCACACGACGCCGGGCGGATGCCAGCACGAGCTTCCGACCTGGGAGGTGCTCGACGTCGCGCGCGCGTGCAAGACCTTTTCGGGGTTCCGCGCGCTGCGGAGCTACGCGCTGATGCTCGGCGTCGTCGCGGGCGTCCTCCTCGACCGCGCCGCGGGACTCTTCCGCTGGTACGTTCGCTTCACGCTCGGCCCGATGAGGTTCCTTCAGGGATTCTTCCTCGCGTGGTGTTACGGGCTGAGCAAGTACGCGACCGCGAGATCGTACTGCACGTGGACCGCCGTCGGCGCGCTCATCACGACGCCCGCCGCGCCCCTGTCCCTGCGGCTCCTCGCGCTCGCCTACGAGTGCCGCCTCGCGGGTCCGTACTACGCGGGCACCGCCGAGGTCTCCTTCTTCTTCACGGCGAGTTTCAGTGGCGTCGTCGCCGGCGCGTACATCGCGTGGGCATCTTTTCCATGGCTGCAGATGGCGGCGTTGCGCTTCGTCCAAGCGCGCGTCACCGACGACGTATTCGAGCGACTGGTGGCGCTGCCGCTGCGGTTCGGGCGAGTGCTGCTGCCCCTGATGTTGCTCCTCACGTTCGTTCCCGGAAACGCGGCGCTCGTGTGCACCGCGGGCGTCGTGCTGCCTTCGTACGTCGTCGCGAAGGTGCATCCATGGCTCGGCTTCCTGGCCCACGTGCTTCTCCGCGTGAACGCGCACGGCGAGGTCTCAGCGCTTTACAACAATTTTACGAGCGCGGAGTTGTTCCACCGGGCGGAATGGATCTGGCCGGCGCGCTCGTTGCTCCAGAAGATCTACGGCGCGCGGTTCTACGGCACCGTCGCCGGCGAGAATTGCTGGGAGGACAAAGACTATCGCAATGCGAGACACGCGAGCGACATCAAGTACCGCGCCGCAAACATCATCGAGCGACGCAAGGCCAAGCGCCGCGAGCGGCGGCTCGCGCTCGAGGCCGTTTTGTGCGAGATGCCGCAATTACCGACGGACGTGCACGACACGGTCCTCGAGTTCGCGGGCGCGCCGCGCGGGCGCGCCGCGCCTGACGAGCGCTCCTACCCGCTCTTCCGGCGACGGCCCAAGCGCGTGGAGCCACGCCCGGTGGAGGACCTCTTGTTGAACGAGCCGCGCATGGCCATGACGGCGGTCGCGGGCGCCGCGTTCGTGCACGGCGTCCTCCCGACGTCCCTGCGCCAGCGCATCTCGCGCCAACTAGGCCCCCACTAAGCCGGCTCTCAGAACCGACGTCCAGCAACGCGCTTAGTCCCCCCCGAACTTGGCGCGCTGCTTGGCCGAGTCCTTGCCCTGGCGCTTGTACTCGGCCTTGGCCTTGGCCTTGGACGACTTGGCCTTGGACGCGTCGATCTTCGCGAGCTTCGCCGCGCGCGCCTGCTTCGCGACGTCCCTCGTCGCGTCGCGCGTGCGCTTCTTGTCGTTGCGCAGCGCGTTGAGCTGGTGGACCAGTTTCTTCGCCGCGCGCGCCTCGGGCGCCTCCGGGTGCGCGAGGCCCGTCCGCGCGTCGCCGCGCGTCGCGAGGTAGCCCGGCCGCTTGGACGACTTCGGCGCCGTCGCGCCTTTCGGCTTCGACGCGAAGGGCAGGGCCTCGACGAGCTTCTTCGGCAGCACCTGCTTGTGGAAGGCGCGCGGCGCGCGGTCCACGGGCTTGTAGAGCGAGTCCTTGTCCACGGGGATGGCCGTCCGCGTGTCGCGGCGGAGCTCCGCGACGGTGCGCATGAGCCCGCGCGGCGGCGCGCCGGGCGCCTGCAGCAGGTCGCGCACGGGCGCGCAGAGCTTCGGCGGGTCCACGGGCACCCACAGGCGACAGACGACGATGTCGGAAAGCAGCACCTTGTCCTCGAAGCTCGCGCGGAACGCGCCCGCGCGCGCGTGCTTGCCGGCCTCGGACACGTCCTCGCGGACGGCCTTCTTGATGGCGCCGCGGACGCCCGACACGGTCTTGAGCGTCGCGCCCTCGAACTTCGCCGCCTCCAGCGCCGACGTGAACATGCCGTCGACGAAGGCCGTGTTGCGCTCGACCTTGTAGGGCGCGCCGCACAGCTTGAGCTTCTTCGACACCTTCGATGTCGCCTCCTGCTTGAGCACGACGCCGACGCAGGACACGCGGAAGGTCGTCGACGACGAAGATAGGGAGTGGAACCCAACTAAGGGCGAGTTCGGCGCGATGCCCGGCGCCCAGAACGTCGCGCCACAGTGCATGTGCTCGGGCGTGTATTTCAGGTACCGGCTCCGCGTCTGCCGCTCGTCCTCCAAACTATAGAGCGGCGCGGACTGGAAGCGGCGCCAGCCGCAGGAGAAGAGCACGGGGTCCCGCGCTTTCAGCACCTTGCCGTACCAGCGGTGGCGCCGCACGCGGCCCGTGACGAGCGACGCGGGCGCGGCCTCGTGCGGTAGGAGCCCGCCTAAAATCACGGGCCGCCGCGGCGACAGGTGGTCGACGAACTCGCAGGGCACGCGCTCGAGGCGCACGCGCACGTACTGGCCGCTCGACAGGCCCTCGAGGCCCAGGCGCGCGGCGTCGTCGCGGAACTCCCTCTCGTTCGACAGCTTCTGCTTCGCGAGCGCCGCGCGCTGCTCCGCGAGGAACGTGTTCTCCTCGTCGTCGTCGTCGCCGTCGCCCGCGGCGTCGTCGCCGGCGCCGCCGTCGCCGTCGTCGTCGCGGAGCGACATGGCCGCGGCCTTCTTCTCCGCCGCGGCCTCGCGCGCGGCCTCCTGCGGCGACAACGCCGCCTCCGCGTCGTCGTCGTCGTCGTCGGACGACGACGACGCGTCCAGCTCCTCAAAGTCGCCGTGCAGCGGCGCGTCGTCGTCCCACGCCGCGCCGTCGTCGCCGTCGACGCCGCCGGGCGCCGCGCCGGTGGCGAAGCGGAGCTTCGTCGACGCAAAGTAGCCGTCGAGGTCGCCGGCCTTGAGCGACGGCACGAGCGCCGCGAGCTTGCGGCCGTCGTCGTCGACGTCCGCGCCGTCCGCGCCGGCCCGCGGCGCGGCCCCGCCCCCGGCCGGCGCCGCGCCGCCCGCGCCCTTGCGCCGGAAGAACGCGGCGGCGTCGTCGTCGTCGTCGTCGTCGCCGTCGCTCGCGGCGCCGTCGCTCGCGTCCGAGTCGTAGACCCAGGCCGCGACGTCCTCGGCGTTCTTCGCCGCGAGCCGCCGCGACAGGTCCTCCTTCGTCCGCTCGAAGAACGACGCGCGCGCCGCGGCGTCCCCGTCGGCCTCCGAGTCCGACGACTCGTCGTCGTCGTCGTCGTCCTCCTCCTCCATATCGTCGTCGTCCTCCTCCTCGTCCTCGTCGTCGACGGCCGACGCCGCCACGCCCGCGTCGGACCCGAACAGGCGCAGCGTCGAGTCGCCGAGCTTGCCGTCGACGCCGTCGCCCAGATCCTGCAACCGGCGCACGAGCTGGGCCGCGCCGCCGGTCTGCGCGCGCCGCGCGTCGTCCGCGCCCTCGACGTCGGCGTCCTTGGAGTAGGCCACGGTCTTGAGGTCGATGAAGACGGACCCGTCCTCGTAGTCGACGTTGCCGACGTTCGCCATCGGCGCGTAGATGACCTGCGTGGGACTCACATCTTCAATGTGCGCGGATTCAACGACGTCGACGCGAGTGCTTGTGCTCTCCGTCGAGAATTCGACGAGAGCAATCGACTCGTCCAAAAATCAGCCGAATCGACTTCGCTGGAGAATTCCGAAGTTCGGTCCTTGGTCGATTTCCGCGCGGGAGATGACGGTCTCCGACGCCTTGAGGAGCTTCTTCGTCCGCCCGTCGGCCGTCGTCGCCTCCGCCTTCCCCAGCGGCAGGGGGTCGTCGAGGGGCGCGAGCTCCGACGGCAGGAAGTCGCCGAGGCCCGGCACGTGGACGCGCGTCTCGGCTTTCAGGTGCGCGCCGCGGACGTAGCCGTAGCAGTCCACGGTGCGGTCGCACTTGGGGTCCGCCAGGAGCCGCGACGGCGGCGTCGCGTCGTCGACGCGGTCGCAGAGCACGTAGCCGTGGGCGTTGCGCCACGTCAGCGGCCGGAACTTGACGCGCGACACGTAGAGCGCGAGCTGCCGCGTCTCGTTCCGCGCGTACTTGCCCGACTGCAAGATCCCGCCAATGTAGAAGATCTTCGCGCCGGCGTAGATGTCGGCCCAGAAGCGGTGCTTCAGCGCCTTCTTCACGTGCTGCAGCGCCTTGTTCGTCTTCATCTTGTCGAGGTGCGTGAGCACGCCCATGACCTTGGGGAATCCGTGCGCCTGCAGGATCGCGAGGAACTCGAAGGTCACCATCTCGAAGCCGAAGGACGCGTCGATGGTCAATAAAACGAGATCCGCGACCTTGGCCAGGTCGATCATGCCGCACAGGTCGTCGGGGCACTCGACGAGCGTCAGCCGCTTGTCCTTGCCGACGGTGATCGTGACGGGGCCGTCGACGGACGCGAGGTTGTGCCGCGTGTAGAGCTTCACGAGCGACCGGATCAGCGTCGACTTGCCCGAGCCCCGGGGGCCGCAGACGACGACGACGACGGGCGGCGCGCCCTCGGTCCGCGCGCGCTGCACCAGCGGCACGACCTCCTTCCGGTGGCCGCGGTCCGCGTTGCGCTGCACGCTCCGCTTCGCGCGGCCCAGGTTCGCGACGCCGAAGGCGCGCTTCTGCGTGTTGCCGCTCCGCTGCGCGCCGGCGCCGCCCTCGCGGAAGGCCGCGGCCTGCTTGGCGCGCGTCGCGACGAAGCCCTTGCCCTTGCTCGACTTGTGCGCCACGTGCGTCTGGGGCTCGCCGCTCATGGTGTCTCAGCTGCGGTCGTCGGCAGTGTTGGACGACAGAGGAGAGCTCAGCACGCGGCTCTCATCGCTTATTCCGCCAGCTTACGAGCTCTTCACGATCGGCTTGGACGACGATGAGCAGTGCCCCGATCAACGTACATCTAGGTGCACCCATAGGAAATTAATTAATAAAGATCAATCATCGAATTCCGGCCGGCGGAGCCAGAGTCATTAGTCGTCCATAGAGGCTGTACGTCGACCGCGCGCGCGGGCGCGGTGTCGCGGCGGTCCGCGGGCTGAAATCACGGCCAAAATTGGGTTATGGTCGTATCAAAGCAAGTTTGATGATATTCGCGCGTTAATTGCACGTTTGCGATGGCTTTTTGCGCGCGGTCGCTGGTTCGGGTCGCGAAATCGCAAGATTTAACTTCAACAAAAGTGCTGAAGTTCAACAAAAATGTTGACTTTTAAATCCAGGCTATCAGAATCTGAGTTTTGATCGGTGCACTGACGATGAGGCCTACGATGTTGCACTCTCGGGGCGCGTCGACGACGTGTGAGGACCTCGATTATCACAGCTTTACTTCTAGTCGTCGCGCTCGCTGCGCCAGAAGGCGAGGATCGACGTGAAGACGTCGTCGGGCGCGTCCAGGAAGAGCCGCTCGTGCGCGCGCACGCTCGACGACGGCGCCGCGCGGCCGCGGTCGCGGAGGGCCGGGAGTCGCTGGCGGAGGGCGAGGAGTTCTTTGCGCGGCGCTTCGAGCCATGGCAGCCAGCCGCCCGCGGCGCGGATGGCGGCGAGGAAGTCGGCCGTGGTCGTAGAGCCGCAGCGTTGCGCCCACGCCTCGGGGTCTCGGCCGTCGTGATTGCGCGCGTCGAGCGACGCGCCGCGACTCAGCAGGAGCTTGCACATCGTGGGGTGATTGTGCGCCGCTGCGAAGTGTAGCGCGGTCAAGCCACTCTGGTCGCAATCGTCGACTCGCGCGCCCGCGTCGAGCAGCAGGCCTGCTGGTTCGCAACGGTTTTCAGAAGCGGCGTTGTGCAGTGGCATCATGCCGAAATTGCCTGGCCAACCTAAGTGGACGTCGGCGCCGTGCTTCAGAAGCCAGTTTATGGCTGAGCACCAGCTATGACTCGCTGCAAGATACAGGCGCGTCGCTCCACTAACACAATTCTCGATGCGCACACCACCATGTTCGTCGCGTGTCATGAGAACAATGGCGTCAAGGTCGCCGCCCGAAGCGTGATAGCGAACAGCTTGGTCGATGAACGAGCTCTCGTGCGCGTCCATAATCGGGCTGCCGGGGGCTTGATTGAACCGTTGGTGAATTCATGAAGTCGCGAATTTGCAAGCAGCGCATGGGCTAGCCTAGCGAGGGCCCAGCCACAGCGCCTTTTCCAGCGCCCAACGGCAACCACACGCACGCAGCGCAAGGACTCCCCGACAAAGCGCACGACACGATGGCGGAGACGGAGATCTACGTGCCCGACGAGCGCCTCGTCTGGGCGCCGGCGACGCTCGAGCGCGAGACGGTCGTCGACGGGTCGACGCACATCACCGTGGCCGTGCGGCGGCCGCGGGACGACGAGCCCCTCGCGGGCTGCGCCGCCGTCGCGGCGACCATCGCCCTCGACGCCGGCGACGCGTCGAGCCTGCCGCTGCAGGACGCGCGGAAGCCCCGCGCCGTCGAGGACCTCGTCGGCCTCGACCGGCTGCACGAGGCGTCGGTGCTCGCGACGCTGCGCGAGCGCTACTTCGACCGGACGCCCTACTGCCGCACGGGCGCGGGCATCTGCGTCGCCGTGAACCCCTACGTCTGGATCCCGGAGCTCTACGGGCCCGCGGCGCGGAACCGCTACGGCGACGCGGAGTCGCGCGCGCGTTTGCCGGCCCACGTCTACGCCATCTCCGGCGCGGCGCGCGACGGCGTCGCCGCCGGGCGGGACCAGAGCGTCCTGGTGAGCGGCGAGTCCGGCGCGGGCAAGACGGAGACGGTGAAGATCATGCTCCGGCATTTGGCCGGAAGCGCGGCGGCCGTCGCGGACCGCGTGCTGTCGTCGCAGCCGCTGCTCGAGTCCTTCGGCAACGCCAAGACCGTGCGCAACGACAACTCGAGCCGCTTCGGCAAGTTCACGCGCCTCCAGTTCGCTACCGCGGCCGCGGGCGACGCGCCGCTCGTCGGCTCCTCGTGCGAGACGTACCTCCTGGAGAAGTCGCGCGTCGTCGGCCAGGCGCCGGGCGAGCGGGGCTACCACTGCGTCTACGGCGTCGCCGCGGCGGCGCGCGCCGACGTCGGCGCCTTCGCCTACGTGAAGCGCGGCGACCTCGCGACGACGTCCATCGAGGGCGTCGCCGACGCGGATCGACACCGAAAGACGACGGCCGCGCTCGCGACGCTCGGCGTGCCGGGGAGCGACGCGGCGGCCGTCGAGGACGCCGTCCTGGCGGTGCTCCGTCTGGGCGAAGTCGCCTTCGACGGCGCCGACGCCGCCGCCGTCGCGTCGTCGGCCGCCGCGAACGCGGCGGCCGCGGCGGGCGTCGGCCGCGCCGCGGGCGACGTGCTCGACGCGCTGCTCGTCCGCGTCGTGCGCACGCGCGACGAGGCCGTGCGCGTGCCCCGGAGCGCGGCCGAGGCGACGGAGGCGCGCGACGCCCTGGCCAAGGAGCTCTACGTGGCCGTCTTCGACTGGCTCGTGCGCGCGATGAACGCCGCGACGCGCGCGGCGTCGCCCGACGGGCTCCGCGTCGTCGGCCTGCTCGACATCTTCGGCTTCGAGTGCTTCGCCGTGAACCGCTTCGAGCAGCTCTGCATCAACTACTGCAACGAGAAGCTCCAGCAGAAGTTCACGCTCGATTTGTTCAAGGCCGTGCAGGAGGAGTACGACGACGAGCGCGTGCCCTGGGATCCCGTCGCGTTCCCCGACAACGAGAAGGTGCTGGCGCTGCTCGAGGGCCGCATGGGCGTCGTCGACGTGCTCAACGAGGAGTGCCTCCGGCCCCGGGGCTCCGAGGAGGCCTTCGTGACGAAGTTGGACGCGCTCCACGGCGACGGCGCCAAGTTCGCCAAGCACCGGTACGAGCCGCGCGTCTTCACGGTGGCCCACTACGCGGGGCCCGTGACCTACGCGGCCGACGGCTGGCTCGACCGCAACAAGGACGCGCTCCACGACGACCTGGCGGTCCTGGCCGCGGGGTCGTCGCGCCCCTTCGTCGCGGGCCTGTTCCGCGGCCGCGCGGCGGCGGCCGCCGCGGCCGCGCGGCGGCCGCGCGCGAAGACGGTCCTGGCCAAGTTCAAGGGCAACCTGGCGTCGCTGCTCGACGAGGTCGAGCGGACGGAGGTGCGCTACGTGCGCTGCGTGAAGCCCAACGGCGCCAAGGCGCCGCGGCGCTGGGACGCGGCGCTCGTCGCCTGCCAGCTCCGGTGCGCGGGCGTCGTCGAGGCCGTCACGGTGACGCGCGCGGGCTACCCGAACCGCAGCGCCCACGGCGACTTTTACGCGCGCTACCGGGCCCTGGCGCCCGGCGCGCGCGGCGCGGCGGCCCTCGCGGCGGCCGTCGCGGGGGGCCGCCACGCGTTCGGGCGGACGCGCGTCTACCTCCGGGCGGGCTGCCT